GTATGTATGGGTGAGTCAACATGAATGTATGTGCGTGAGTGTGTGTGTGTGTGTGTGTGTGTGCATGAGTGTATCAGTATATGTATCTATGTGACTATGTGCACATGTATGTGCATTTGCATGTAAGTACGTATATGTTAGTGTGTATGAGAGTGCATATCCATGTGAGTGTGTGTGTGTGCGTGTGTATGTCTGTCTATGTGTGTTTGCTAGTGCATATGCATGGGTGTGTGTGCGTGAGTGTGCGTGAGTATGTGTATATATTTCTGTGCGTATGTGTGTGTCTATGTATGTGTATGTGCATGAATGTGTGAATCAGTGTGAGTCTGTGAATATGTGTTTGAGTGTGTGTGTGTGTGTGTACATGTAGGAAACAATAACAATAATAATAATTAAAGAAAAAATGCAGACATAAAAGGAAGTTTCAGGGCAAGGGAGAATTTAGAAGAGGGAAAATAATAAGCAATATTAATCCATAAAATCAAGAAGCCAGCCAAACTGATACCAGTAGTGAAGAACGCCATCACTGGATATATCATGATGATATGGACAAAGACTGCCACATATGAAACCCGTTTGCAATATTTACTAGTCAGATTCTGACTTTAAAAAGTGGTTATGCAGTAATACCCATCTCACCAACTGTTACCAGATGAGCTGGTGCCTGCAATGGTCCTTAGTACTCCTGGGTTTCTAATATGTATTTTTGATATTTTTGAGTATTCACCAAGGTATAATTAACCAGAGACAGGCTTCTTACTGTCTTATGAGAAATTGTAATTCAATCAGCCTGACTTGCCAAAACCTCATCAAGTCAAACATCCATCTGTGAAAAAGGGAACAAAGGAGAGTGACAGAGAACAAACATAGGATGCTTTAGATACAAGAAAGAACAGCCATTCTGTAACCATTCCTCAAAGTGGAAATCTGTTTGGCTGCATTGAGCCCAGATTAGAAATGGTTCTAGGTTCTCTCCTGTCATCTAGAATATAAATGCCATCATTCCAGGGCCATATACATACCAGGTATCTCCAAGGTCTTGGCTTAATCAGTAAGAAAGAAACAGTCAAGTATTCCTGCCTTATCTGAGGAAGGTAATGCAACTGTAATCATTTAGGCCCAACCAAACAATTACTTATGCAAATAGAAGATCTACTCCTGTGACAGGTAAAGCCTGTGACAGGGTAATAAAAGGACTGAAAACCCAGCAAAGGTCTAATGCCCTAACACAGATGACTTTCATAAAAAAGGTGTTACCGAAGTATCTGTCACATAAATAAAAGAACACTTAAATTACTGAGATAAGAAAGATAAGGACATAATAAAATATAAAAGTATTTTGTGACGTAGAGGAATTTTAGTCCAGCAACATGGCTGTTCTATTCACATGTGAAGACCTTCTAGGTCTGTGTGATCTAGCTGGAAATGAATTTGTAAATCAAAGGAGCTGTGTTCAAAGGAAAGTGACATCTAATTGAGATGCAAAGTGATGAATCAGAGAAAGATTTGAGGGAAGGAGATATACAGAGATAGGGTATACCTAATTCTCGTAAGAACGGCACAGGAAAGAGGGACTATTTAAGAGTAGCACAAGGAGAGAGTCATTGGGAGTCAGTACAGCAAGCGCAGTGCAGTGGGCTCGAGTTCATTTGTGAGTTCATGCAGTTCAGTGCAGGTCATCAGAGGCAGCTGAAACCAGAGAATAAATAAGGAGGGGCCAGAAGATTAGAACAAAATGGCAGAATTAGTTTGAAGCCAAACAGAGCAATTCAGTGAGAAACTGAGAGAAGCCAGATTGAATCAGTCAGTTTGTAGAGGAGTTTGAGCCGGAACAGCTGAGTTCAACCAGCCAGCCAGAGTTCAGAAAGAGCTAGAAAGGGTGAGCTTATTCAGCAGTAAGTCCCTGTGTGGACAATTACATCTGTGAATAAAAGTTACTTTTACACCATGAAATGAACAGCAAAGGCAAATCTGTCCTTTGAAAACTAACAAATTGACCAACCTATGGACAAATTATTAAAAAGAGGAGAGAAATATTCAGGATAGAAAAAGAACCAGAGAGCAGGGAACAGAAAGATGCAATGCAAACACTCAGAGCAGCAGTATTAGCGCTATTGGATTGGAAAACCATTCAGCATTCTATGGCCAAGTTGAACTGAGGCACGTTATATGAGCAAGCATTTTATTCCCAGGAAAGTTTCCTCCAGAGAAACTCGCACATGTGCACTGAAAGAAATGTACAGTGGCATTCCTAGAGCCATTGTTCAGAATAAGAAGAAACTAGAATGTCCAACATGTGTCCACAAGAGAAGGAGTATGTTTGTAACAACTTCATACAACGTGGATCAACTGGGAAAAAATGATATGTTATACCTTATAACATACCTTCCAAGAACTGTTGGAAAAAAATTGCAATTGAATACTTACTGTCTACACAAATTCAAGAACTACCCAAGCTAAGCCTTTAGAAATGTGCAACCATGCTTCTGTGAAGAGGTTATTGTTATTACATATAAAGGGATTCTACATGGAATGTTCAGAACCATGATGATGCTAACAGGAATGGAATGAAGTCAATATGCAGACACAGCAGGTTCATGAGCATCAGAAAGGGCATACTTCCAGACTCACTACTGAGCACATGAATATGTGCTTTATCATTGATATTTATATTCCCCTTACAGTTTTATATATGAAATAACCCAGGACAAGAAGAATAAGAGAAGAAAGGGAAGGAGGAGAAAGAAAGGGCGATAGAGGAAGAGAGAAATCCCTCATAAAATCTTCATGCATATTAGTGGCAAGGTAGACATGAGATAGAGAACAGCCTAGGCTCTTGTCTGTACAGTGCACTTGGCAGTTTATGTCTCTTATACAATGCAACCATTTGTTTTCTTATATGATGCAGCGTTTTACACTGAGACTGGAGAGATGGCTAAGCAGTTTAAAGTACTTGCTGCTCTTCCAGAGGATCTGAATTCAGTTCTCAGCACCCACCTTAGGCAGCTCCCAACCACTTGTAATTCTAGTTCCAGTGTATCAGAGGTTTTCTTATAGACTAAATAGGTACACCTGTACTCACAGATGCACACATATATATACAGAATTTAAAGAAATGCAAATGTTTTAATTTTTTATTTTTATAAATAAATACAATGTAAAATATATCGCCAGCAAGTAGTAAGAAAAACATAGTAGTTTTGAAGTTAAGAGTACATAGCAAGGCTTAAGAATTCTTAAATGTAGCTCTAACAGTGGCATGTAATTCATACTATGGAAATTCGTTATGAATGAATCTTTTCTAGACTCTGTCCCATGGCTTCGGCAATGTAAAGCATGTCTGTCAGGAACATTGCTGGTACTGTTCTGACACCCACCATTCCTTGCATTCCTCTGTTTTTCTCACTTCTACAGGCTGGAAACAGGCCCTGGAGTAACTGTCAGAGAAAGTCTGGATGGAGCAGGATTTGTTGAGCTCCAGGCATGGCCTTTCTCAGACAGTTTACACCTCTTGGAAACAAGTACCTAATACACTTTTGATGTTAGACACCAGGTTCGCTGTTGCCTTGAAACAGAGGTGATATATTGCCACAAAAATCTTTTCAATTTTGTGCGGAGAGCATTGTGAAGGTTAGTGTCAACTGTTAACTTGACAAACTAATCATCTGGGATGTGGTGAAGAGAGATTATCTTCTGTTATTTGAATCGGAAAGGCCCATCGTAATTGTCAAGAGGACCATTGTTGGAACACAAGATCCTAGATTGCATGAGTTGCTCTCTGTTTCTGATTATAGATGAAATGTGACCAGCTCCCTCCTTCTCCTGAAACTGACTTCCCTGGGACAATCAACCTGGAACTGTGGTTAAGGTGCTCTTGTCGGAGTATTTTATCACAGTGACAGGGAAAGAAACTAAGAGAACAGTTATTAAAGAGGATTAGAAGTTTGGTTGACAGAGCCACAGGCTATATTAAAGACAGAGAGAGAATTTATACATTTACAAATATACCTCTGTAGGTAAAAATGAGGACTACAAAATAGGAAAAAAAACTCTACAAAATTCTCCATCTTATAAGTTATCATTTATTGGTTTTAAATGCAAGAGGCGGTCTGTTATAGGGACCTCAATTCTTATATTACTTTTTTGTTATCTCTATGTTGATGGATCATGTGATGCTAATTAAACACACATGTCTAAATAATTTAAGTGTTAGAGAATTCAAAGCCCTCTTGATTCCTCCTTCACCCCAAAACAGAATAAGAAAGAAAATTACTAGCCTTTATGGTGGACAGAGAATTGAATAGCAAAACCATGTTTCACGGAAAAATCTAAATTGACTTCTCAGGTTCTGAATACTTGATTGTGGTAGACATAATGCAGAAATAGCCCCATTTCAACTCATTTGAAAAAGGCAGTCATTCATTATGCCAAGTCTAATGGGCAGAAAGGAGAAAAGGGGAGTAATTCTGAGCAGACAGCACATACATATGGGCAAATATTCTCACTCTTTTCTGCTGTAGAACAGAACTTACTGAGGATCATGTAGAAATGGTGTCCAAATGGTGGGCAGAAAAGCATGCTGCCGGAAAAGAGATGGTCTACCAAAAAAAAATCTAAAAGAAAACTTTACATATACTGTGTACATGTGATTAAGACATGCACATGAAAACTATTTTCTTTATGAAGATAAGAGAAGTCTGAATCTCATTTTACTACACGCCAACTCAACACTCTAACCTCACTGTCTTTAAAATGGAGGGAAGACGGAGTTAGATTTTGCATTCATTGGACAATATTTGCAGAATTGGCAGTAATCCTGGAAATACCATGTTTCTCCTCTCAAAGTCATCTTGAAGACAGCTCTCTGCATTTTTACTTAAAGAAAATTGCTAAGGGGGACCCATACCTAATAAAATTGAACAGACCAGTGAAGACAGAATGTGACAATCTGTTTCAAGGAGCTGTCTCACACAGATGGCACAAAAAGCAGAGGAACTTACCTTTGTGATGGTTGGCGCTGGAAACAGCTTTCCCCCACAAGGTCACTATAAAAATAATTATCAGAAGCTTTCCTTGTGTTGCTTTCTGTAAGTATCTCTTATTCATCCTGCAATAGAAAAGCAATACAAGACCTAAGAACATAGAATCATTGTGCTTCTCTAATTGTATTACATTTGCCTTCCATGATACCTTGACATATGTAATCCCACAACATTGAATTTCTCACACTAAAGGTTCTATTTATATAAATTATGTTACTATGTTTACTGTCATTGGTGGTGTCGGTTGTGTGGTTGTTATTGTTGTTGTTGTTGTTTGAAACAGGATCTTACTGTGTAGCCTGGGCTGGTTTTGAATTCATAAGCTTCCTATCTCAGATTCCCAAATATGAGTGAGCACTGCAGGTATAAGGTGCCACACTCAACCGTATCTACTGTAAACAGGGAGTAGTTTTCCAAATGAAACACGTTGATATGACTTGAGAATCAAGAAACATCTTGCTTTTGTCAGTTTTTATGAACTCAAAACAACTCAGAAATATTGTCAATCCCTTTTTCACGTAAATGTAAATGTAATTTATTAAGAAAACTTAAGACGCAGACATTTGAATGACACTGTTTATTTTCCCACCTCTCAAGAGTCTTTCTTCAATGCCAGACATCCACACGTATTCTCCGGCATTTACATGTGCAGATACATGTGCATATATGTGCATGTAAAAATTAGTGAATAGATAAACGTATGCTAATTGATTAGATGAATTCTACTCAGAATAAAGTCATTTCAAACTTCTCATTTGCAGTTGTATTTTGAAAGTCATCCTGTGACATAGCTTTCTTTCTGCCAGCTTATCTGTACAGTGGGAGACTAGACGTTGGTGAATTCAAGTTATTATACTTCAGCCAAAGTAGAGAAAAGATTAAAAAAAAAAGAATTTTTTAAAAGTGAACATTTTTAAACTGAACCCATACTAATAAGAAAGAAAATAAGATAACTACTTCTCTATACTCTTACACCAAAAATCTAATTTTTCAAGCACCTTATATACTATCCTCTTATTTCTCAGACTGAAAAAAAAAAGTCTACCCTCATTTTGTAGCTGACATAATTTGGAAATTTTCTTAAGGTCACATTTAATGATAGAGTAAAAATTCAAATCCAGAATGACATAATTCTAAAAGTCCTTATTTAAGCTACTACAATGGTAAGGCAAAAGTAAAAACCAAGGAAAATAGATTCCATGTAGATGTACTTTCAAGGACAAAATACCCATCTGTCCCAGTACCTTTCTAATTTAGATCCTATGTTGAAATCAACTTTGCTGGGCTTACAGATTCTCATCTACCTTCCAACAGCTTTTTGGGTTCTTGCCTGGTGATGCCCGATTCTTTTTCCCCTTGAGGTCACTAAACTATTCTCTCCTCTTAGCTTTACTGCCAAAACAATCTTCAACCTAGCTTCAAATCCATGACTAGGGGTAGCAAACAAATTTGGATATACATTCGGAGCATTCTTTTACATGAAGCAATGCAAGAAAAAAAACAGCTTGATGTAGAATATATTTTAATATGGATGTATTAATATTTCTTAGCTTGGAAGAATATATATATTATATGCTGGAAAAGGAGGTTTGAAGGATTAAAAACACTGATTCCCAAGTCTCAGGGTTTGAATCCATGCTCTCTGGGTTCCTGGTTATGACTGTAATAGTAAATATTGTCATCTTGGCAGAATCGCCTAGGACACAAGCTTTTGATATGACTATGGAGGTTTATCTGGGATGATTAATTGAGGTTCCAAGATTTATCTAACTTTGGATGACAACATTTCATCAGCTGGGATCTTGGACATATAAGAGTCATCTGAACAAGAGAATTTATCACCCTATTTCCTGACCAAAGAATCAGTATAAGAAGAAGCTTCCCGCTCCTGCTGTCGGACTTCCCTGCCATTATGGATTGTACCCCTGAACTATGAGGCAAAATAAACACTTCCTTCCTACAGTTTGCTTTCAACAAATTTATGTTGCAGTGACAAGACAAATAATATGTATTAACTTTGGTCATTTTAAATCTGTAGCTTTGGTTTCCCTTATAACTGTTGGGGTAAACTGTTTAAGTTTCTTCTACTATAGAATGGTATGTTTATATAAAATATGTGGCCCACTATGTCCCATGTCAAAGATCGTGTGCAAAGGGAGAAATATTTGAATATTTAAATTTAGTCACTGGATCTAAAATCAAGTTTCTTGTTTGTTGTCCATATGGGTTTGAATAAATTACTTAATAACTATATTTTCATTGGCAGTAAGGTAAGGGTTTTCATAATACTGATCAAAATTATAATAATTTGGTAGAAGACTACACAAAAGAATCCATCTAATATTTGAAACCCCACAACAGATATTAAATGTCCAGTAAATATTAACAAGTACTTGCTGTCTATCAGATTGGCATTTCCCTAACTGTGGTCCCCAAAGTACTGGCTCCATACTATGATAGCACAGCAGGTAGTGGAAGACAAATTGGAAAAATATATTTGTAAAATTCTAGATTCAACAAATTTAAGGAATTTATTATTGAATAAAGTTTTTAAGAGGCATACAATTAAACAAGCCTCCACTGAGGGACTTTTCAGAACTGTCTTTTGGCAGAGTAGCACAGTACCCTAGGTTACTAGCATCCTCGAAAAATAGTTCAGCAAAATCCTGTGCTGTAATAATGATCGGTTCTAATACTCTCTCAGTAAACAAAATTTTCAATTTTAATCTTTAATTGTATTACTCTTGTTTCACTCAGCTCTCTTGGTTTTAATTAAAATCTTCCTCTCGGTTTTGTTTTGTCTCGTTTTGTTTGATTACTCTGCCTCCCCTTCTGCGTCCGATCCCACAACTTCATAGCTCTGCTCACCATGGGACAAAATAAAGTGCCAAATTCATCCAACAGAAGAGTTGCTCAGCCTGACTCTTGGTAATAGCTTTGCCAATACGAGTGGCCTCTGCTACAGGCTCAGCAGCCCATCCTTCCCCACACCGTTGTGCACCCATCGAACGAAACAACAGAAGAGACAGCTGGTAACCAGACATGGAAAGAGAAACACCCATAAGGTCACCGAGCTGTCAGAGCAAAGTGAGAAAGGAGAGCGCAGGTCAACATTTGGAAGTCTGTAACAATCCTATTTTCTCTTTCTCAAACCATCAATATTTCTGTCCATCAACCGTATCCCCTTTATATCTCTAATGTTACATGCTTGACCTACGTTATTGTCACACTACAAGTCAAACCACCAAAATGTCTCACTGGCCACAGTATGCTAGCTATATTTCTACTACTACTGCTACTACTACTACTACACACACACACACACACACACACACACACACACACACACACTCACACACACGTTGGGAGCCGACTCCTCGCCAAAAACAGATATCATCTTTGCAGCCATCTCAGGCCATATACCCTGACAAAAGACTTGTTTTCAACAGTCCGCAACAACTGAGCACACTCTGATAAACATCTTGTTTTTCTCACATATCTTGTTTTGCTGTTTAGTGCCACCAGCTGCAAGGCGCACGTGGTCTCCTCACAGCTAGCTAGGCGCACGTGATATCCATGCTGCAAGGCGCACGTGGTCTCCTCACAGCTAGCTAGGTACACGTGATATCCATGCTGCAAAGCACATGACGTAGTGCCTTCAGCTGTGCTTGTCCACGAGGGCAAGGCACGTGGTAAAGGGTATAAATACCCAGGATTTCCTTCCAATAAAGAGACTTGAGAGACTTGATCAGACTCCCTGTCTTGTCTCCATTCTTCACATCTCCATCCCCACTCTCTCTCTTGCTAGGCCCTGACCCACGGACCGGAGCAGCAGAACGGGCCGTTACAAAGTGGCCCCCCAAACGTGAGGCAGCTCGGGCGGCTACACACACACACATACACTTGAACATGTATCTGACCTTCCCTGTTTTTCTGCCATAAAGCAACCCCTGCACACATATGCTTAGAGTATTTATCTGAACTTTCCCAGATATATTTGTAATATTAAATTTTATTAAATATCATCAAATACACATACATACATACATACATGCACACACACACACGCACCATCCAATTTCTATGTCTTAGCAAAGCAAGAAGCTATGATGAGTATCCTTGGTTATAAGCTTTGTCTGATATTCTTGTTTCAGGGAAAAAAAGAAAAAAACATACTCCCTATCAGTATTTTTTGTTTCTGATCTTAAGCTCTTTCTCTTCCTCTCTTTAGTCACACATATCCATAGCATAAATGTTAAGTCTACAAAGTTTCCTCACTAGCCGCCACCAAAATCTCACTTTATGTCAGCGAAAACCTACCATCCATTCCCAGAAACTCTCCACAACCTCCCAGATGACTAACTTGTATTCACTGGCCATCCTGCAGGTTAGAATTCCTTCTAAAGGATTTATTAAAAGCCATGTTGAGTATCCTTTTGCAACCCTGGACATTCACTAGACTGCACAACAAAACATTTGTTTGTGTCAGCCCACTCTAATATAAGAATTCTATGTACTGAGGTGGTGTCTCATAAAATGTGTGGTGCAATCCAATTTCTGGTTTAATAACTGGTAAGTTCATATTTGTCGAATGCTATAAAAACCTTTTAGCTAAATATGATGTGCATTTGTTACCACAGGGAGGAAGTCAACATGTGTCAATCATCTCTGCCTGTAGTTAGGGAGTGACAAATAGGATCAAAGTGAGGACAGACAGAGACAGGAAAAGGCAAACAGAAAAGAAAAGCAGTGAGAACTCGTCTTTCTAGGTTTCTTCTGCTTTTAAATAATAATCATATTTGAGCAAAATGGTGTCATAGAGTGATTAATAATTTTTGACAAAGAGACAATAACAAAGGGGGAAAAGCTGAGAGGTACATTTCTTCGTATCCTTGTACGAGGGCAAAGAAGGAATCCACAGCCTTTTTTTTTTTTTTTGCTATTTTCTACCCACCAGATCTCAAGTTAAAGTTTTCTACCACAAATTAGAATTGTCACATTCATCTGTAAAAACAGCAGAATTTCAGTGAATTGCCAACCGCAAAAAAAAAAACAAGTGAAGAGA